ATCCTCTCACGAGATTCTCTCTTATGAAGAAGAAATCTAATGGAGCCATTTTATTGACTTAATAACTATGATTTCCTTGAGATAAACTTTAATAAAAATTCAACGTCCTTCTGAGAAATTGTACGACAATCTTGATTCCTAAGAGATATTCCTGAGGTGTATTGAGAGATGTACTTTCAGAAAAATTTTTATAAATCTGAAATTATAAATATAATTTATATCTAACAGGTATGAAGATCCTGAATCAATTTATTGTTTGCCCAGTAATTTTAAAGTTATTTAAATTATATTCATTGTATATTGAGCTTTGTTAAACTTGATTAACTATATTCATACAAAATTTGAATGGGACAAAAATCTATAGAATACACATACAAATCTTTTCTATTCAATTTTTTCCCACTATCAATCTTAATTATCAAATTATTTATTTGTATTTTTCTACTTATTTCTCTACTTAATATGGATCTTTTACTCTTCTTTTAAATAAAGAAACAGAGAACTCAAAGAGAAAATAAAAACTACATCCAGCTCAAAGGCTACACAAAAGCAAGTACTTTTCCTTTCAACAAACGTACACTTTATGCAACCTTTATACCCATATTCAACTGAAAACCGCGTCAATTAACACAGTAGGTCATTTACGTCTCACGGTAAAGTCACGTTAATTGATGGTAACTGGTTCAAAGTGTATTAAACGCGTTTCCTGGAAACCGACCGCCGCTTCTTTCGAACTCCTTTATGCACGATGTCGCGGATCCCGCGCCGTCTAGCTGAAAATGCCAGCTTTGTAGACTCGTTACGCGGTCTTTTGAGGAAACACGAGCCCCTAATTGCGGGCACGAGCCATTAGCACGGGTTGCCAACAAGCAGGATGGATCGTCTCGATTGTGACGCTTGTTCTGCGATCATTACCGATACCGAAATCGACCTAATTTCGAGACTTTGGCGAAAAACTTTAGCTCGCAGAATGCAAGCGGAAGTTTCGAAACCGATGACAGCCACGTTGGGGTGAAAACGCGTCGCGTTGGGATGCAAAGTTGGCATGGGTTCCGGTACGTTTATAGCCAACGAGTTTTGGGATGATGGGATAAAGAGATTGGAGATTCGACAACTTTTAATGTGTGAATTTGAATGATTGAGCGATAATTTTTATTTTTGCTAAAAGCTTTTTCGATTTTCATTCGACATTCTTATTCCTATGAGTTGAGAAAATAAGAAGGAAGAAATGAAAGTAAGATCAATAGGAAATTTATACCTATTGTCTGAGAAAAATAATTGTATATAAATAGACTATCTGAAACAAATAAAAAAAGAAAAAGTATTATATTTAATAGGATACGAAGAAAATGGATAATAAATTTGCTTTTATAATTAGAAGTAGATGAAAATAAATTGATGATCAACATAATTACCTACTATTAATATCTCCATTTAAAAATATCGACTCTTCCTGCCAATTCACGATTGATTTAAACGAGAAGTTGATACAAACTTCCTGTCTTATATCATATCTAATATATTAGCATATTTTCCCCAAATTTATGTTGCTCTGTAACAAAACTTTTATTAATTTCTCTTATTATTTTTTAAGAAAAGCCGCTCCAATTATTATATCAAAGATTTATATACGCAAGATTTATTCTCACCGATATCATTCCAACATTACCATAACCAGTGTTATTGAATCGTTAAAAGTTTACAGTTTAAAAGATTTCACCCTAAGTTTATAGTGTTTCCCCGGCCAAGTAACTCGTAAACGCCTATATTTCTTAGAAACTAGTTCGCGTATACTTTCCTCTCCCTGATCCAAACGATCCAAGTTTTCCAAACGGACGAGACACGAACAATTTCCTCTGCATCGAATAAAACATTCGCGAGGATCGATGCGATATATTATAGCTTTCTGGACGAGCATCAAGAGGCTCGCTTTGTTTCCGTTATTATTAGAAACAGTGACATTCGTGGGCATCCAAATTTCGCGCGTGAAATTGATATTATAGAAATTTTTCCTGTATTCTCGAGGATCGATCCCATGTTGCGTTTTGCTCTTCTTTATTTTCACTCTTTTTTCTTCTTTTTTTTCGACAAGCTTTCACACGAAGATTCTTTCGCCAACACGAGTCTGTTGTGTGGCGTAAAATTATGATCCGTGCGGATGGAAAACGATTCGCCTTTTTTCGTGGCCGTGAAAGTAAGCCGGAGTGGTTTTCGTTCGGTTATACAGAAATAAATCTGCCAGGAAATCGTACAAATTAATTAGCGGGCAGATTTCTCGTTGGCAGTGAGAGCACATCAACGGATTTGGAACGCTGAAAGTTTCATTCTAGATCTGATCGTTCGATATAGCTGAGATTTTAATTGATCATCTTGTTTGTATTATCTTCGCGGTTATTCAACGGTGAAATGACGAATAATATTTGCATTGAAAGAGAAGAGTATACCGTGTTCAATGGGATGTTCCCGATTGCGTCATATCCAGGGAAAGAGTGTGGTAATAATTTGATACCGGTTGCATCCTCTTCGAAAATTGCATAAGTCGAAGATTGCGTATGAGAAAATAGAGAAGTAGCGATGGAGCGAAAACGATTATGAATAAACGATAAATTTGGTTAGGTTACGATTTCTATGCAATAACATAATTACGTAGAATTATTGTTATTATTAAAATTTTTAACAAATATATTTATAATATATTTCTTCTCTTTTTAATACACTTTAATTATATATATATTTTGTATTTTATATTCGTACAATGATATTTTATAAAAATTTATCAAAGAAAACTAGAATGTAACTAAACAATACGACTTACTTTTACTAAAGCGACATCTATAACATTTGCAATCCTCAAGAATCTTGATCATTCATTTAACATGAATTGTTATTTATCAAACTGTTTGTTTTATATATTTATATTAAACACTTATAAATCGCTTAAATAAAAAGACAAAGCGAAACGAGGATTCATTATAGAAGAGCGAGAGGTTAAGTTGTCGTATTCCTGAACGCAGGGGTGTAATCGTTATTAATGCGGGCCTAGGTCACGGGCGACGGATCGTCTTTGGAGGTAGTTAGTTAGTTCGCGGGAAGGCCAGTGGCCGCGCTCGCGCTCACTATAAATAATCATGGCGCAGGGATGTCCAAGTATAGACCGTTGGGAGTGTGCCAGCCTGCGAGGAGGCCTCAGCTATTTTTGAGGCTGTCGCCGCTACGAGCGCTACGACGCGCGATAGACGCTCTCTAATCAAAACTGCACGACCGAAGAACGACAGAGATGGCCGCTCTGTCTTTTCCGACCGAGAACCTCGGGCCTGCGCAATACACTCCCACCTTGCATACAGAATTTCCCCACTCTTAACCGTCTACGCCGATTACCGGTCTTTGCACGACCTTGAATAGAATTGATTTATCGCGTTAATTATCCCCATGTTATTCCGGTGGAGGGTGTTTCGTGAAATTTTTTTCGATTACAATGTTGGGCGTGTTCCGAAGACTGTTCCTGTTATATTGTGTCATAATCGGAATGTTGTTGTCGATTATTTAACACCTTAGCAGACGGATAATTTTCATTGGATAACCAATTTATTGAATCATGGGTTTTGAAATTATAGTATCACGTTGATGCGGATAATAATCTTGTCAGAATGAATAATTTCTTGAACATGAATGAGGTTATTGCAAAATAATATATATATTATCAATTTTATTATTTAACCAAAGTGGTTTTTTATCTTAAAGAATTGTTTGTAATTTAAAACACAGTGTTGAATAAATTCATATAAAACCAAAAATGGTAAATGTTTGCTCAACTTTTCACAACTTGCGAATCTTGTACGTATATGGATGTGTTTTGAAACAACCGCCATTGCTGCTACATTAACGTCAATACCTGCGCGACGCTAGACGCGCAGAAACTTTCTCCATGGGTTAGCATTTTATATACTTCGTTCAAACTAATACTGTACTACGTTTATGTCAAACGGTTTAAATTAATAATTGAATAAAAACTTTTTTATTACTATAACTAATTATCAACGTTAAATAAATATTTCTTATATTTTAAAAATTATTTTGTATCAAACAGACATATAAAAATCTATCTTAATAATTGCGAAAGATAATTTGAATCATTCCATTCGTTCTTTATTCAAATATGGTATAAGCGTCAAAGGGCGCTGCCGCAATCAGCCGCAATCGGTGAACTGGTCAGTGAAGTGTGCGTCTTGCGTGAGAAGTGGGTGAGGTATTTGATTGCGAACGATTCACCTAATTTTGCATTAAAGAATTGTCATCGACACAGCCGATTATTATAGAAGATTTGTCAATAGTAAGTTTCATTCTCGTTTACATGTTAATATTTCGAAAACAGTCGTGAATCTCTGTTTAGCGTGGGTTGTCGATTTGGCAAATGAGTTGTCAATGAAAATCGATCCCAAATTATCTGGGGCAAAGGGCATCAGCCGCATTGGACATTTGCCGAATTTAAATGCAACTTGTCGATTTGCTGATCGTTCGATCAGGAACATTGCTTGCGTGTATTCTTGAGCGTAGTGATGAACGTATTCCGTGACGAAATAGCTCATCGCTGATATTAGATACGAAAAAATATACATTATTCATTGTTTCTTGTTCGGCTTTGTAATAGTCCATTCAAGGCTGTTTTTGTCATTCGTTTGTTTTAATCGTCCAGTGAACTTCACGCGTATCTATTTATGCAAATTTAAGGAAAGTGAAACTAATCATTAATAAAAATATTTAACAAATTGTTAAAAAAAATCGAAATGATTCTTTGTATTTAAAAAGAATAGTGTTTTATAATAATATATGGTGTAATTTTATATTGCGAATGTGTTAGAATATTAACATACATTAGCAATAATAACAGAGACAATTTTATAATATATCTTATTTTATAAGATAATTGCATTAACAAGTTAATTAATAAAATGTCACGGAGATACTCTTTAGTTGACCAAAAATCGTGGAAAAATTTCCAGACATCTTCATCAACCAAGACAACCACAATGACAACTGCAGCAAAGTTATATGGCAAGGATTTGAGTGAATATGATGATGTGGATGTGGATGATTTATTGGCACAACTTACCCCAGAAGAAATTAATATATTAGCTAAGGAAGTGGATCCAGATGTAAGATAATTATAAATAATATATTTTTATTAAGTTTGATATGTAAACTGATTTATATTTGTATTGTATTGTATTTTTTATAGGATAGCTTTATGCCACCATCACAGCGTTGTAGCTATGAATGTGACAAGAGTCCTACAGGACCATTAAATCGTAAGAAACTCATTGAACATATCAACAAACAAGCTTTAGAAACACCAGACAGACCTGAATTAAAGCCTTATGTACCTGGTGTAATAAGAGGCAAAAAGGTATTTTGAATATTTTTTTTATAAAATATTTAAAATTATTAATGATGTATATATTTTCATTGCATATCTTTAGTGGGTTCCACCTCCTCAAGAAACAGCAAAAGAAAAAGATGCAGAAGAGCAAATTGCTATTGATCTTGGAGAAGAATATGAACAAGCATTATCTAATGCTACTCAAGAAGAAATTATTGATCTTGCTGGTAGATATATTTATATAATATATTTATATAATATTTATTATAATATTTATTGTAATACTTACTGTAATCTTCTTGTATATAGCTATTCTTGGATTTCATTCTATGATGAATCAAGATCAATATCATGCTTCTCTATTAAATTCTGGCCAACCTGTTGGTTTGGGTTGGGATGGTATAACGAAAGCTAGTCAACCAAAACCTTATCCAATGGAACCTCCCAATGATACAGATGTTGATGCTACTATTAAGCAAGTTAGAGAAGATGATGTTTCATTAATTGATTTAAATTGGAATAATATCAAAGTAAATATATAAAATTTAATAATTTTAAACTCATAAAATTTTAATATTTGTGATTATAAGTTATTTTGCTTTCTTTTAGAATATATCTGATGAAAAGTTTATTCAATTATTCGAAGGATTAGAGATAAATACACATCTCGAATCCCTAAGTTTAACGAATGTGGGACTCACTGACAAGACTGCACAAAGGTTGGCAGATGCCTTAGAAAAAAATTCGACGCTCAGAGTACTCAAGTTAGTATAATGTTTTTTATCTATTTTATATTATATCTACAATCGTTATTTTACAAATCTAATAAAATTACAATTTTTTAGCGTGGAAACAAACTTTATAAGCCCATCTGTGATAGTAAGGCTCATCAGGGCATTGCTTAAAACGAAATCAATAGAAGAATTTCGATGTTCAAATCAGGTAAAATATTTTATATATTTATAATTATTAATTTTAATAATTTATTTATTAAATATAGAAAACTATATTTCATAATTATTTCTAATATTGCACATTTATATTTAATATAGAGGTCGCAGGTATTGGGAAATAAAATTGAAATGGAAATTACACAATTGGTGGAACAAAATCCAACATTGCTCCGACTTGGTCTTCACTTGGAATTCAATGATGCTAGACATCGCGTAGCTGCACATTTACAACGCAATATTGATAGGAGTAAGTACAATATATTTGTATGTTTAAATATTTCATTCGTATTTTCGATTATATCAAAGTATTTCTAAAAAAGAACTCATACTCTTAAGTAGGATAAAAAAAATTATTGTTTAGCCAAGTATATGTAGCAATACTTTAGATAAATTGATCGTTTATCATTTCAATGATACTCGTCAATTATATCAATTTCTTATCTTTGATCTAACTTTATAATTTATCATTTATTACATAGGTCGATTAATATTTTTTTTTCAGATATAAATTTAAGTTTTTAAATTAAAAAATTATTTCTATTCATTTTATATATTTATAATGAAAGAAGTCTTTACAGATGATTTATTTATCCAGAGATATGTGCCACATTGGAATCGTATTCTTTTTTTGATTCTTACACTTTAAAAAGATGTTTTTTTCCTTTTTCCTCATGCTATAGCGATATTCATATTATTAATTTTTCGTTTAGATGGGAGCAATTGTATGGGGGACCATGGAGATCATATGACGAAATGCTTCTAATTCTTCCGAATCTGCTTCGTAGTCTTTCATAGCGCTTTATTAGCACATCATCATTCATCCATTCATCCTGCTAAATTCATTTATTATTTTTCTAGCTAGTGATATAGAGGTAATTATGAGATCCTAGAATGTACCCATTTTCAATTGATATTTCTTTATCTTTTTAACATCTTTTTTCTTATAGAATTTAATTACCTCTTTTATATATCCACATTGAATTCTGATCTATTTCACATATTAGAAAGATGTTGTACCTAGAAAATTCATCATATAATTTATTTCAATTTTCAGTCGAGTATAAAATGTTAAAATATAGGCATTATATACGGTATGAATTTGTTTTATGTTGTTTTTTTTTTTTTTTTTTTCATTATTGCTTATATACACCTTATTTAACATCAGTAAGCAGCTGAATAAATGGAATTTGTGGTGTTCATGCTTTTGTGCAGTTATGCTTCGTTTAATCTACGATCGATAACAGTATTAGTGTAGAGATATATACTCGAATATATTTTTTTTTAGTCACGTACAAAAACATTTTTACTTATTCTCGAACGTTGAATCGATAAATCTAAAATAAGAACAACAAAACAGTAGCAAATCGTTCTAGGTTCAAATCTTGCTTTATATTCACCTTGCAGCATGCTTATCTTTCCATTTGATCCAATGCAAGCTTTTTATCTTTTTTCGTTTCACCATACTCACATTCATCTTATAATTATATAAATTATTAAAAATAATTCAAATGAACATGTGGAACGCTTACATTGGTTTCCATTTGAAAAGCAATCCATCTTCACTATCTGAAATCATTAGATTATTAGTTTGAAGAATTTTAACGAGTTATTTATTTTACCAGTCTGTCGTGTGGCACGCGCGAAGCAAGAGGCCGGTGAACCTGCTAAAAGTTTCACTGTCCCAGTAGGTGGTGTAAGAAAGGAATCGTAGCGCTGATTAGCGCAGTGAGTAGTATTATTTGTTTAAAAAGAAAGAAAGGAAACAATTCCTGTTCTCAGAATAATAATTTGAAAACTTGTCTATATTGCCTGATTTTCTTTTCTTTTTCTTTTCTTTTGGTCCATTTTCACGATGTCGAATGTAAGTGAATGTCCAAATAAAATGATATCCATGAAACATAAATTCAATTCTTTGCTTGTGATTGTCCACTTGTTATTTGCATTTTGTATCGATCCAATTAAAATCTTTCATAAATAAATTTTGTGATTATTCTTACAATTTTAAATCAATAAATTTATTTATTCTCTGTACAATTGAGTAACTGAACATATTATTAAAATTGACACACATGTAAATTAATGTTTATAATATTAGATATTGGATATTAAGATGAAATGCAATATTAATCATCAAGTTATTAGTATCTAATAATTAGTATTTAATAATTAAATCAATGCAAAATAATTATACAAATTTTAAAACCAGTTATAATAAATAAAAATTAATATTATCTATAACTAGCAATTTATGCACCAATGATTATGGAATCAATAATTGAGAGGAAAATTTTAATTTTAAAATAATTTAATTTATAGATGTTTAAAAATTTATAATTCTTATGTATCATATTTTGCACTTTTTCATTTTAGAACTCTTTTACTTTTCTACTAAACTCTTTTACAATTATACTATTAATATTAGTAGTAATAAAAATTAGTCTCTCATTGGTAACAATTCATGCATTCATCGCACGATTTTATTTTAAGTTGCTCGCATTATCCTTTCCCTCATTTCATCTCGTTGTGCATGCCTGCTAAAAGCAATGAAAATAAAAAACATAATGCATAAGAAGGTACACAAATAGAAATAGGGCAATCCATTCGCAACTCGAGCGAATCTTTTAATACCGTTACTAATTGACACTATGAATACACATATCTCGGATTATATTTCCAGGCAGAGTCACCATGTCAACATTTACCAAATGGTCTACACCCTATTTCGCAATTTATCGTCTTATTGTCGCGTACATATCCGTCACATAACGGCGATTACAGTGATCACGATGAGCTGAAAGGATTACGATGATGTGCCACGTCTTTTGTCTTTCATCGGTCAGAGATCTCGAAATGATTGCCTTTTCATGCAAGAAACAAAAAATTTATCTTTCTATCCTGAGGAAGAAGAATCAAATTATATTCTCAGATTATTGTCACAACGATTTCATATATGATGTTTTATGATTTGATATTTTCTTTGTATTTTCGATAAAGAAATTGTATATTTATATATTTTATATTGTATAATTATAAATCTTAAACTTATCAAATCATACAACGTTGTAAAATTGCAATAACATAATGTGCATGCAAATGTTAGATCATTTCGATTTTTCTATGGCCAGATAGAGAATGGATTATTTTATAAGACAAATATTAGATTTTACCACCCACGATGTGAGACTCTAAAAGCTGCTATGTATACTTACGACACCTCTATTCTTTCCCAACAGTACGGAAAGACCTAACGCTGCGACTACAGTTCCGATTCTTTAACATGAATCACAGGAAACCTGCCTTGATTCAATGAAAGGTAGCTACCCTTTAACTGGTGGTCGATCAGCGGATTGATTCTGCGCGGTTTTTTCTTAAGGAAAATTTCTAACAGCTCTTGTTACTTTGCAGCTTCACTAATATCGCTTTTCGACAGGGTTTGCAAAATGTTTTTTGCGCTTGAGCAGGAAGACAGGAACAGTGTAAGCGCGTTTCTGGCTACAAACGATTTTAGAATGTCTGAAAATTTTTCTAAATCATATTTTAACAAACTGAATGATCAATGAGATAAATGAACATTCTTGTCTTGATGTTTTGTGAGATTCTATTATATCAAGAATTAAAGGAATTAGAAGATTTTGAATATATGCAATTTTCAAGTCTAGAATTCATCTTTTTCCTGTTTAGATTAATTATTTTCCATTTATTCATCATTATATATATTCATTTGTTTGAAAAATATGTAAGATCTTCAGATTAAAAAGTTTTGTGAGGCTATAATAGGACAATATGAAATTACACAAAAGAACAATTTCTAAAATCTATAAATAACATATTTATCTTGCTTTATAATAACATATTTATCTTGCTGTTATTAAAAATAGAACAAAATTTCTCCATAAGATTAGATTTGCAATTTCTAATTATACAAAACTATCCGTCATTGAGATTAAGCGTGAATGATTCTTTCAAGAAGAATCTCACGAAACATTTGCTCGTAGTTTCACTGTTTAGTATCCCTCGTTGGCAAGGCATCACGAGCGGTAATGAAAGTCGAAAACAGAGTTTTGCGCTTGATCTGACACGTCGTTAACTGCGAATCGTGTTTGTAGACGAGCTTTAACTCTGGTCGACGGCCTCGCTCCAGGATTTAGGTGCACATCCTATCAAACCCGATGAAGTCGTGACGCGTTAATTTCCACGCAACCTACCAGAAGCTCGATTCGCCTTGCGTGACGTCCTCTCGACGTTAAATGTCGAGCGGGTATAACGTGTGACGACGTGTGTAGCGATGGGATCAAACGTATCGCGATCAACGTTGTAAAGTTCGACGAAACATTTAAATAATTGGATACGAATTTTTTTTTTTTTTTTTTCTCTCCCCACGAGAATTTTCGAGGAATAATCGAAATCGATGTGTGTAATAAATATTTCATAGAATTCAGAGAATCGTTCGCAAATAATAATGAATGTATAGATGAAGATATAAAATATAAAAGATAGTGAATTGTTTTAGAATTTTGCAGTAGTTTAGATTAAAGATATTTTATTGAATTGAACATACTGTTGGAATTTTCTTTTTTTTTTTTTATTTAAGATGCAATTTTTTTTGATTATTTATTTATACTTATATTATCATTTCTTATTTATTTAGCTATTTTAACGATCCCATCGCTAAGTTTGTATTACCAGCCATTGGTACGTGACCATATAATTACGATTAAATCTACGACAATTAAGTTACCATTATGAATAATAGTGAAATTTTTTAAATTTTTTTTTTAATGATATCTTGCAAGAAATATGAATAATATCATAAAATAACTTGTTTAATGTATACGTGCAATCGACGTTACAGAATAATTCTTTAATAATTACGTAGTTTAGATTATAATTACAAGTAATTTGCTCGACAATGTTTCACACATCGATCTATAATCTAGAGGTCTCATACTTTTGACTGGTAGTGTAACAATCCTATACACCTAGGAATAAGCCTTCCTAGATTGGATAAACGTCGAGAACTGTTCGGTTTTGGATCAACCGCGAACTGGCCCCGATAAAGTTTTTCCCTGGCGCGAGGGTACAACTCAATTAACCGGTCGTTTGGTGGAAAGTTCGTAGCCAGATCGCCGCTTTACAGTTCAGATTAACTGTTTGGCCTAGGAATATGGGAATAATTTCTTCTCGTCACGCGAATAACTTTCCTCCAACTTGAGCCGTGAGACACTGGTTTCTGCCT